TAGGTTGCTGCAATGCACTAGGTTGATTGCCCACCCAGGTACCCCAAGGCTGCCCTGTTTTGTTATAGGGACCTGGACTCTTCTGTTGTTCGTCCCCCCCCCCCTCTTTCCCTGCTCCTGGCTCCCAAACGTCTGAGGGTTTCGGAGTCAGAGTAAGGTTTAGTTGGTAATGAGACTCGGACAGCTTTTGGGAGCTACCCCATTCGGGTTGGGGACAGAGACATTCGAGCCGGTTCCTCCTGCTGAGGCTTCTGGGTCCCACCAGCAGGTTCTCCTTCTTTTCTGCCATTTCCCTGGACTGCCCCCCGGGTCCTGGTTTGGAGGATCATGAGACTGGGGAGGAGTTGACCTAAAAGGCTTGGGCCCCCTTTGACCTTGCTTGGGTTTTGGTGCTCTTTTGGCAGGGCTTGTTGTTGCAGGGGGAGGGGTTTTCTTACCACACCTTCCCTGTATGAGTAAGATTTCGGGTCGGCTCCTCCCCGGGTTCGGTTCCAGGTTCCTTTGGGTTCCTTGGCTCCTTCTTTCTGTAGGTTTGGGAGGCGCTTGCTGCTTACCTCCTGTGAGATCTAGATTTTGTCTTTGTGATGGATCCACCTTCATTTGAGTTCAGTTCTTCTTCCCTATATTGGGTGCATTTGGAGGTTCCGGAAGTCTTCCTGGCTGGCAGACTGCCCATTCTTTTCGTTGGGGGCATGGCATAGATTCTGTCGGACCCTCACGCTTGAAGGGCGAGGAACTTCTACCGTTCTGCAGGTTTACCTGGGGGTGAGTCTGAGTGCCTTAATCCATGCTTGTTCGCCCCTGTGCTTCCTCGGGATGTTGGCCTTGTGCAGCTGCACATGAAGGTTCCCACTCTTTTGGTGTCTTTGGTTGCCAAGGATTTGCACGCCCGTGGACATTTGGCTTTGGTCTTGCGCTTCATTCCCTTCTTGAGCTGTCCTCGGACTGGCTTGAGAAGGATATGGAGGCGTTGAGTGCCGGGCTTTCGTCAGGTGTGCTGGCCTCGGAGGCTAGGGGGTCGGCCGTGCTGTTGAAGCTGTTTGCACCGATTCTCAAGAAGGCAGTGTGTCTGTTCTTTGCTCCTCGTCTTGTGTGCTGGCGGGTTGTGCTTGCTCTTTCTTTGTAATCCACTTGGGGCCTGCCACATAGGTTGTCGTCGCTATTTTGTCTGTTGCTGTTTGCGAAGACTGATGTCTCGCAGTTTCTGCAGGTGTCTTCGTCTAGTTGTCGAACTTGTTGGTTCTCAGGGGGTGGCTGTTCTCGGCCTTCTCGGAAGGGTTGTACCAGGGCTCGGCATTCCTCCGGTCGGGGTGGGCCATTACTGCCAGCTTCTGAGCCGGGGCTTCCTTCTGAATTGGTGTCAACTGGTCAGTGCTCTAATCGCTCTGTCTGTCGGTCAGCTTCTCGTAAGGATCATCAGCCGTTTTGCAATTCACCCCATTGCCAGGAGATGGGGGGGGGGAGGCAGAGGTTAGCGCTGTTTGCTCACACTTGGTCCCATGGGGCAGACTTACTTTTTTGCGCTCTGTCGGGGTCTTCTTTGAATGGGTGTGCTTGGGGGTGGTTGGAACGACCCCGTCCCTCAGGTGGGTTTCCCGCCTGTTTTCAGTACCGAAACAGGATTGTGCAGATCTGCAGTTCATTCTGGACTTGTCTCATCTGAATCCCCCTGGATTCCTTGCCCCCTTCTTTTGGATGACCACTCTGTCTCAGGTCTGGCTTCTGTTGGAGCCAGGAGCCTGGATGGTGTCCCTGGACCTCAGGGATGCATATTGGCACGTTCCTTTTTATCCAGGGTTCAGGGACTGGTTAGGTTTCATTGTGGGATGTCAGGCTTATCATTTTTGTTGCCATCCCTTTGGCTTGAATCTGACACCTCGCATGTTCGTGCGTCTTACCCGAGTCCGGTGAGCCGTCTGCATCTGCTAGGGGGTTTGGATTCTGGCCTACTTCGATGACTTGTTGGTGTGGGCTCCCAGCCGGTATGCTTGTCTGCCCGTCAGGGGTGTGGTTCTTTCCCAGCTCGCTGGGTTCGAGTTCCTGGTGAACTGGAGGAAGTCCCATCTGGTTCTACCCCGGGTTCGGACCTGGGTGGGTCTCGTGTGGGACTTTTGGACCACTTCCTTGTCTTTTCCTCCGCAGTTGTTGCTGCAGATGCTGTCCCACCTTTGGCTGTTTCGGGGGGTTCCCGGGTCACTTGATGGTTGCTCGAGCAGTTGTTTGGGAGTCTGAACTTCGCTGTGCTGATTAACCCACCGGGTTGAGTCTGGCTTCAGCGTCTGTTCTGGTTCCTTCGGGCTCCTCCCTTCAACTTCTCTTACAATCACTGAGTTCGGCCTCTGGGGGCCTTACGCCAGTTGCTGCGTCGCCGACTACTACTTCGGGCTTTTTAGGGTTCAGTGTCTTAGGGTCTACCCGAGCCCTCGCTTGATGTGTTCATGAATGCCTCATCTCTCGGCTGGGGCTTTGTGACCAGTGCTGACCACTGGTCACAAAGGGATGATTTTCGGGGTTTGGCTCACTGTGCGGTGCATATTCAGGGAGTGTCTAACATCCTGGTGGACGGCCTGTCTTGGTTCATTCCTCTGTCCATGGAACGGATGGTCAACACTAACTCCTTCAGTTGGCTCTGCTGAATTACGGGTTCCCGGAGGTGGACCTCTTCATGTCGGCATGGACGAGGTGTCTCTCGATATATGTGGAGCTATTTGCTGATTGCGGAGCATTCACGGTGAATGTCTTTTGGCAGGACTGGTCGATATGGGGTTACCTGCACCTCTTTCCCCGGGTCCAGCTGTTGCTTCAGGTCCTGGCTCGTTTGGAGACTTACCAGGGGAGAGTAGTCCTGTTGGCCCTTTGGTGGCCGGCCTAGCCTTGGTTTCAGGCGCTGCTTCCTCGGTATCCGAATCTGAGATGCTTCCGCGGCTCCACCTCTTTCAGCAGATTGGACCAGCCTGGTACGTGGCTGGTTCGGTCTATTTGCTCCTGGTCTTTTTGACATGGATGTCTCTACACTTGTATGGTGATCAGATGGCTTCGTTGATGGTGTCCCACCTGTGAGCTTTGTCTAGGCGACAGTATGAAGTTTCCTGGCATTCTTCTCGCCATTTCCTTTCTCTTCGTAGGTTGTCTTCTATTTCTGTTCGGGTTGTCTTGTTCTTTCTCTCTTGGCTTTTTCAGGTCTTGTCATTTGATGTCGAATACTGTTACATCATATCGTGCAGCGCTGGCGGAGCCGCTTCAGCTTACATTCGGGGTGGATGTCACTTCTGCACCGTACCGTAAGCTTTCTTGTTCTTTGTTTCACCTCTGGCCTGCTCAAGCACCGCCTGAGCTGTCCTGGTCCTTGGACAGGGTGTTCTCTCTTATCTTTTCTCTTTGGGTTTCTCTTTTCTCCCTTTGGTTCAAAATTGTTTTTCCAAGGCTCTTTTTTTCTGTTGGCATTGGCTTCTGGGGGGTCAGATGGGCGAGCTTCATGCTCTCCTCCGGCCCAGGGGTTTCTGCTCCTTTGATCCTGGTGGTTGGTTTCTTCGGTTGCAACCGTCTCCTTTTCTGGCGAAGAATGGGAAGGCGGCTTTCCAGAGGGGGCCCTTGGGTCCGTGATGCTTGGTTGGTCAGGCCGGGGCTGCATCATGTGTTGTGTCCGGTTGCGGCTCTTCACCGTTATTTGCGCGCCTCGGCCTCAGTGGCTGGGGATGCACTTTGGGTTGATCCGGTTTCTTTCGTTCCCTGTTTCAGGGCTCGTGTCTCCCAGGTTGTCTGCAAGGTTATTAATTAAGTCTAGCCAGCCCGTGGTCTTTCCTCGTCCCCATGACGTTAGGAAGTTTGCTGCTTTTCCTGCCATCTTTGGCAACGTGTCTTGGGCTGACATTCGGGCACGGGGTTTTGGAGGTCGAACAGGGTCTTGGCTGCTTGTTATCTAGTCAACGTTCTTGGTCCTAGTCGTTCATGTGTGGCTTTAGGTGGCAGGTTGCAGCCAGTTGTCTCAACTTCGAGTTGAGATGCGAGTGGCTGCCACCTCCTGGGTAAGTCCTTCTTTTGTTTGTCTTTGGTTAGGTAGCTTTAGGGAGCCAGAGAGAACCCCCACAGAACACCAACGTTGAATGTAATGAAATGCCATTTTCTGGGTGAGCCCTGGAGGCTTCCTGGCACCCTCCCTCCGGTCGGCAGTTTTTCGCATGGGTTTTGATGCTTAGCCTCCGAACTGGAGTAGTTAGGTGGACAGCATGGGGGGGTCCAGGGCTCCCCCTCTCCAGGAGGGGTTATCTTGAGGTTATCTTGAGATGATTTCGGGGCTTTTTAGTGTCCCCGCGGCCCAGTCCTTGACCAGGCCTCCATCCCCAGGAAGCAGCCCGTGACAGCTGACTAACACCCAGATACCTATTTTACTGCTAGGTAACAGGGGCATAGGGTGAAAGAAACTCTGCCCATTGTTTCTCGCCGGCACCCGGGATCGAACCCGGGACCACAGGATCACAAATCCAGTGTGCTGTCCTTTCGGCTGACCGGCTCCCCTGGGTAGGGGAGGGCTGCATGGACAAGCAGCGCGGCGGCAGTGTTGTTGTGTTTGCTTGTCTCTTTAAGTAAGGGTAGTTCTGCCTCTGTTCGGTCCTCGGTTACAATTTTCTTACTACCATGTGGGGTCTGTTTTCTTATGCCTACCTTTCTGGGTGCCAACCCCCGGTCAGTATAATGCCTCCAAGGTCATTGCTCCCTTTGCCTCTCTGATGGGGGGCCAGGTTTTGGCTCGTGGTCCCTGGTAGGCTAAACTCTTAATTGACTGATGCCCCAGACTAACATAACACATACCAGCCTGATAGCTCCAGGAAGCCTCCGGGGTTCGCCCAGAAAATGGCGTTTAATTATATTCAATGCTGTATTTTTTATTAATGTTTGATAGGCTAAGAATTATATTCAATATTTTCTTTATTTACAACACGCTTAGCAAGGCATACTCGTTAGGCAAAATACGAAGTTCTGAAAGTAAATTTACATTGCAGAGTCATCATGGGCGACAACAGTCATTCATGCCGGGGTTTTGAGACTCCAACTCTAGGAAATGATCTCTGGCCCATGGGGTTTGATGTTGACCTTGCCTTGGATGGACCAGGGGCTCGAAAAGGCCCTGGAAGCAGTTTGGGCTCCAGTGGACTAGGAAATGGGGGATTAAGTTCCCTCCAGTCTACAGTAAATTCCTCTGTTAGTGGAGGTTACAATGATATTCATCATCTTTCTGGTTTGTCCTCTATTTTGCAAAGATTTGATGATTTACATCCTGGGGATATATGCCAGATGACAGACCTTACTAATTCTTTGCCAAAAGGAGATAGCGAAACTGCTCAGAGTCTTTTAGCCAAGTTAGCATGCCAAGATTTAGGACCTGATTTATCATCTGGAACAGACCCAAGCCACAAAGAATTGGAAACATCCTTATTTGATCATGCTACAAGCGGTATGGCTCATGGTGCAGGGAACAGCACTCAAGGTGTTGTGTTGTCCCACAAAACTCCTTTAGAATCAGCTGATGTATATGGAAGGATGACCTGCTACAGTGGAAAACTTGTGCTTCAACTTCGCCACATAAATTTTAACACCAACTACACTTTAAATGTAAATGAATGTTGGCTCTGTGGGGAGAAGGTAAATGCAGGATCGCAGTTATGTACCCACAAACATTCTTTAAATGGGTTGTTTCAAGTGAATGATGAGTATGTACAGATGGACATAGACCATTACATAATTCCTGAACAAGTGCTTGATCCTCCAGATGCCCACGACATGACAGATAGCGTACTTCAACATTCTGAATCGGGTTTACACCACGACCTCAATACTGCACGAGATCTCGAGTTGTCAGAAAACCTAACGGGAGGCGGAGATGGACTGAGCATGGGTGCAGATGGTCCTCCTTTACATTACTCAACAGGTCCAGACCCAGGATTGGTACCTCCTTTAAGTTCTGCTTCTAATCTCCTGAGTCAAACTATCCCTACTAACCAAAATTCTTGTTTAAACTCCTCATTTGTTCATCTGCCTCTCCCAGGAATGCCTATAACAGGCAGTCATGGTGGCATAAACTCAAACCTGCCTAGTATGGCAGTTGCAGGAAATGTTACGGAAGGTTCACTGCCAGTGTGCTCGGTAAGCACTCCAGTGTTTGGTTTAGCTCCTGCAGACCCTTTATCCACAAGTGCAATATTAGTGTCGACTCAGAGCGAAAGAAAAATATCAATGCAAAATAGTCAAGTTTCTGTGGGTAACGGTTACTCCATGGGAAATGGATTCAATAATTTTAATATAAATAATCAAATGAGTAATGGATCACTTCATAGTCAACTCGGCCATCGTGATCTTATGAGTCGAAACAAGCAGCCAATACAGTATCACCTGCCTTTCCCAAATGGAGGAGAATATTCATGCCATGACTCAGGCAATGTAGATACAATACCAGAGAAGCAGAGCGAGGTACCTTGTTTAACACCGTTGCATTCGGTTTCCACTAGCTTTGATTCACGGCTACAGAGAACAGACTTGGCTCCTAGAAGAGCTGAAATTGGTGCAAAGAAAAGAAAAAGCAGAGCTCAGAGGAAGCCAAGTGTCATTCAGATGCGGGAATACAAAGCCGATATCCCAGAAAATAGTCATGAAATTTTTTTTAAAGCCGAACCTCTTGACAATTTGCCTGTGAAAAATTTTAATGCAGAGTCTGTAGAAAGTATGCATGTGAAAAATGAGTGTGTGGAAAACAGGCAAACATCAAGACCAGATGCCAGTATTGAAGACTGGATTAAGCACAATCTGCCTGAGGGGGATCTAATAGTGACTGATAATAAGATGAAATCCAGTGACAACCATTATAAACCATCAACTTTAGATTTGAAGCATAATAGTCAGAATTTGTCGTGTGAAGCTACTGGAAAATCCACTAAGCACTATATAGCTGAAAAGCCTCGTGAGCCAGACCAAACGTCTCGGTTGGTAGCCCACATGTTAAACAAAGGACTAGATCTCTCATGCCGTTTGTGCCCAAAGGACTTTGGAAAAGACATAAAAAATTACAAAATACATATGAAAGAACATGGATTAGATGAAATGGCACTCTTTGCATGCTCTTTTTGTACAAAAACATTTTCAAAAGTTAAACACTACACTCAGCACCTAAAAACACATGCTAGAACACAGCGCTTCTCTTGTCTGTTATGTAATGCGAGTTACAGCCGAGAGGCTAAGCTTCGTCGGCATATGTTATGCCACTGTCCGCAGAACCAGGAAAAGGAGCACAAATGTACAAAGTGCCCAAAGTCATTCAGTACAAAGGAATACCTTCAAGCTCACTTAAGAGTTCATGGTGGGAAAAAATATAAATGTGAAACATGTGGATTTTTCTGTTCCTCACCGTTCAATTTAGATACACACAGGAAGAAACATTTGGATGATAGACCATATAGATGTGAGTTGTGTGAGAGAACATTTGTTAGGCGAGATTTCTTGGACCAACATATGGAACAAATACATAAAAATAGTAAAAGTAAATGTGAAGTGTGTGGTAAACTCTTCTCTAGGAAAGATGTGCTAAAGAGACATCTTGCTGTCCACAACAATGAAACCTATGATTGTGAAGTGTGCTCAAAGAAATTTTCTCGGAAAGACAGACTAGCTTCTCATAAAAAGGTGCACAAGTTAAACTGTGATTACAAATGTTCTCTTTGCCCTGCCTCTTTTACTAGAAAAAACATTCTAGATAAACATGAAAAAGTACATAAAACTAAAGAACAGTGTAAAGTTTGTTACAAATTTCTCCTTTCCAAACAAAGATTGGAAAATCACATGAAACTGCACGAAAGAAATAATTCAGGTAATGGTTCCAAACACGATGGTGAAGGTATGCTTAAGTGTAATATATGTGATAAGTCCCTTACAAGCAAAGATATCCTGAGAAAGCACTTGAGAAAAATACATGGAAAGCTGCCCGAGGGAAAAAAGAAAGTGGAAGCTATGGAGAGGGAGAAAAGATTTGTCTGCCATGTGTGTTCCAAGGGGTTCACTCGAAGTTGCAGTCTTAGTACTCATCTCTTGAAAGCTCACAGTAAGGACTTGGAAGAAGATGAATTTGACGATGATCTTCCTTCAGTGCTTCAGTCTCAAAAGCTAGCAGGTGGAAGCACAGGCATTGCTAGCAGCAACCCTTCCTCCTCCTCCTCCTCCTCCTCTTGTGTGTCTACTTTAACTACAACTTACCAAAGTTTTTCAACATCAGCATCATTGCATAATACAGTAATGTCATCCGGACTTTCTGAGTTAAGCCCAAGTGCTGGGAACCCTAGCAATATTTCATTCCCAGTTAGTATGCCTGCATCATCACCCTCTCCTTCTCACCCGCCGCCACTACCCTTGTCTTCCTCTCACTTTCCTTCCTCTGGGCCCCCAGACTCTCCCATTAACCTATCTACGGATGCCATCACCGCAGCAGCGTACCTCTTGGCATACCCAACTTACCCTTATTAGTAAATTAATCATATCGATCATGTTTTAGGTCTCCTTTTTATTTGAACATATATTGTTTGTGATGACTACCAAAGAATAGCTGAACAAGACCTGGTGAATCTTTCAGCTAATCTGTAAAGCTGAGTTTTGTATTATTATAAGTGGTTTTATATAATACATAATTTTAAGTATTTTTTTTAATTAAATAAAAGCTTATTTTTTCAGTATTGAAAATGCTTCCATTGTCTAAATTAATGGATATTTGTGATGTTGTAAATTAAAGTCAGTCTTTTATATTACTTTATATGATAAGGACTAATAAAATGTATATTGCACTTACTATGCATAGTAAACTGCATAAACTAGCCAAACTTATAATCTAAATATGGTTTACGTTGGGCTTAACCAGCAGTCAACGTTATTGTTTTCCTGTTGAGATAATTTGTTTATGTATTAATATTACAATGCATTCATCAATTTATGTCTAATAATATTGAGGGCCCAACAAAGAGCTTCAAATACTGCCTACTCCCTCTCTGGGAAAATGCTGGCTGTAATGGAAGCTTTTACTTACACTGCAAAATACGGGTGACATCAGGCACGCATTGTAAAATGTCCAGCAGACCAGGTGAGCGTTTTACAATTTTTGTATCAGAACTCATCGAGATTAGGGTCAACAAAATAGAGTACTGTTTACTAGAATTCCCTAAGAATATTTATCATACAAGGGTAAATATTAATAAAGTAAATAAAAATAATATTTAACAATTGTTTTAAATTACAGTACAGTACTGTATAATAATTTAATGTGACTTATCTTCTATATATGTATACACACCACACTTGGATCACACTCAGTGTGATCTGAAGGTGGCGTAAGTGTGTGAACACTATACCGTAGGCCAGAGTGTGGTCGGCTCGACTGTAAATCCCTGGCTGGGCAATTAGGTGATTACATTTAGGTAATTACACACATTCATACATACATATACGTACATACATATACATACATACATACATAATATACATACATGTATACATAATATACATACATGTATACATAATATACATACATGCTGTATATGTACATACAGGGGTACCACCTTTGGTGCAAGTGTGTACAGAGGTGGAGAGCATGCCCATGTTACAGCAAGTATTTCCCATCTGGACTGAGACACTGAAGCACTGGAACAAGAAACTGGCTGCTCTTGGGTCTCTGGTTTGCCTTATGAGATCCTCACAAACCCTCCTTCAGAAACTGAAGTGCACATTTACCCCAGACAATTAGTGTCTCTGAGCCTATTGGTATGAACCTGTAACAATGTCCTGAGCCCCTATACTTACTAGTTTTCTGGGCCTCCCTTGAAGGTGGTATCTCAGTCACTGTCAGATGCACTGTACTGTAGATAGGTGTTGACCAATGTAGAGACACACGTATTCCCAGACAACCTGTTTATGATTTCACCAAGGATGCAGGGTGACTCCATCTCAGTGCTTGTGATTTGTCAGGTCTGCACATTGGGAGTGTGGGACACTTGGCAGTAACCCAGCTCTTCTTAATTATTTCATTGATTTGTGACTAGCAAACTTTCCCTATTGACTTATAACAAAGGAGACCACGTTCGTCATATTTACAGATGCAGATACATCTGTGTTCGGTGGAGATAGGGGCCATAAGGCAAAGTACAACACCAATATTTTTTAAGCCTGATGGTCCATGTGGGTGCCCAAGGAAGATTTAGGGAAACTGACAGGAAGTTCCCAGCATGAGGGACTTGCACAGTGAGGAGGTATGCTTTATCTTTCCCAGAAGCTGCCTCCAGCATTGTTGAGGCAATGCTTTTTTTTGAGATATATACAAGAGTTGTTACATTCATGTACAGCCACTAGTACGCGTAGCGTTTCGGGCAGGTCCCTGAAATACGATCCCCTGCCGCGAAGAATCGTTTTTTCATCCAAGTACACATTTTACTGTTGCGTTAAACAGAGGCTACAGTTAAGGAATTGCGCCCAGTAAATCCTCCCCGGCCACGATACGAACCCATGACATAGCTCTCGCGGAACGCCAGGCGAGTGTCTTACCACTACACCACGGAGACTGTAAGCTTCACTATGGGGCTATTCAAATGGGTCTGTTTGCATTTGGAGAAGTTAGTCATGGTGAAGAATTTGAAGGAATATCCCACTGGCTGGTGCCTTCAGTGAACTTGGGACCATGAATCCCAGTGAAGTCTCTTGTGCTCTGGTAGGATCTCTCTCACTAATTCACTTACAGCACTGGTTGAGAATAGAAATTCAGGCACTGCTATCTGTGTTGCCATGTGGATACCTATACCACCAAGTCTAACTGGGAGCATTACTTGGTCATGTTAGTCATATTCAAAGAAGAAGTTTAACATTTTTATTGATATTGCGTTTAGAAGCTCACCATAATCTCATATTTTTGGACAATCAAAAAGATGATCTGCACCTTTAGAAATAGGTAAGCCTGGGCAATGTCATAAACCTTATGAGGATGTATAAAGTATCACAGGCATCTAAAATACCTATTCTTTCTTTCCTTCTCTACAGGTTGTTGAGTTTTTCTTTGAGGATTACACCAACCGTATTCAAATCCAAAGCATGCCCCTAGCTGCAAACTGTCAGTGGGGGATGATCACCAAAGCTTGGTAAAGCAAATCTTGCTACATCTATGATCGATTGGTTAGGCAAAATGATTTCAAATCTAACTCAGATTTATAATGCATCCTTACTCTTCTCCATTAGATTTCACTAGCTGTAGATCCTCAAACTAGGACTCCTGTGTTCCTGCCAGAGTGCCATGTTCCAGGAACCAGATGTTGAGCTTGCTGGTCAACCTGAATGTCACCTTCATAACAGCTATGCAGAAAAGGAGAGGAGTAAGGGGTTTTTGGTTACCCTCAGATAGAAATCTTTGTGTCTGCCTGAAATCAAAGACTCCCATTCTATATAGCCTCATTTCCATTCTCTAAAATCTTCAGTTGGATGCCTTTTGGGTGGACTACGGTGGAAGTTTCTCTCTTCCCTCCGGTTCGGCTGCTGCTCCTAGTTCTTTGCAGACTGGAGACATTTGCAGGCAGTGATCCTTCTGGATCCTTTGTGGCTGGCTCAGCTGTGGCTTCCGTCTCTTTGAGCTCATTGTATGGACCCACATTTTTTTTTGTGGCTCTGCAGCCAGAGAGGATCAGTTGAAGATGTACCTCAATGGTTTGAGGCTTTCTACCGATCTTCACGTCTGGACTTTCTCATTCTGGTGTACAACCATTTGTATAGTTTGCAGGTGATGGGTCTTTTAGTATCACATTTGTGATTTCTCAATGACAATTTGAGGTTGCTTGGCATTCATTTTAGCTTTTTCTGTCCTTTTGCTGCTTGTCTTTTGTTTCTATTTCAGTGGTTTTGTCACTGTTAAATTGCTTTTTCTTGATTGGTATCTTAGGCCCAATACTATTGCTTCTTATTGGTTGGCTTTAATACAGCTGCTTCATTGGCATTTGGTGTTGATTTTTTTCAGCGCAGTTTTGCAATTTGTGTTGTGCCTCCTCTCACCTCTGATCTGCTAATGTTGCTCCTGAGCCTTCTTGATCTCTGGATTGGGTCCTGGTTCTTATCTCATCTTCATGCTTCCCTGTATTTTCTCCAGTCTTGGCTCTCTGTTTTAAGGATTTGTTTCTGGGGGGAAACCCCTTATGGGTACCTGAAGCCATTTCACCGAGATGTCTCCCAACTACTAGGTTACATCAGCAGTGGAGTTCTGTTTTGCCTACTGGGGACCAGAGCCAAAATCTCATCCCTCTCACAGAGGTGCAGAGAGCAGGTGACACTACCACTTCACTAGGAAAGCATCCAGAAAGTCACTTAACCACTACAGTCCGCTGTAGGGTTCAAAGAGATCAAGCCTCAAAACTGCCAAATGAACTTCTCCAACAATGTAAACAAACGATTGAATCTCTAGAAACAAGCATAAGCTTGTTAGCACTGCCCCTACCAGTTTGGGAGGGCTAGAGCTCCCAGTGTCCACAAGTCTATGATACCAGTTCTAGAAGGGAACTATTAGGAGGAGCAGATGCACAAATGAAAGCACCCCCCCCCTCCCCCATCCTCCCCAACCGATGACCTGAAAGGAAAGGAGGGAATCGGGGAGCCACCAGGGCTCACTCAGAAAGAGTATGGTGGCCATTTTCAATTCCCCATAAAGTAAGACACAGCCATATATATGTATATACTGTACATTAATAAACAAATACAAACTTTTGTATCTTGTATTTCATTACATTCAACCCTTGTGGCTCCCTGAAGCTAACTGCAGAAAAGAAAGAAAGGGACTCACCAGGGAGCAGGAGAGAAACTGCAGGCAGTCACAGCAGTGACAAGACACCAGGTCGAGAGATGCGCCTTGAGGCGACACAGACACGATGAGGCCCGAGAACACCAACTAAATACTGGGCCGCCAGAACCCTGGTAGACTGCCACTCTACCCCCCCTTTCCCATGCTCGAATATGAGCCCAGGATACATCAGCAAAAACCACAGTGAGAGCAGTGTATTTCCCAACATTTTGGGCACGAGGGTAAACCACAGGCTGGCTAGATTTGATGACACTGCAAATGACCATGGAAACATGAGCCTTGCACCAAGGAACCAAGGAAACCCGATCAACTCGTGGAGCATTCACCGAGACAGAATTGGTAGCACAAAGATAGAAGTGGAGAGCTGCCACCTGACACAGCATATGATGCACCCATGACCTGTTCTTATGCTATATTAGTGATCTATTATTATATGGTCAAGGTATGTCTTAATTTGTTCCATAGAAAATATTACAAACTTTGCAAGGAATTTTTAAACAACTATTACTAATAGACTTTGAAAATTATATTTTTATATCAAGATTCCTGAATGACATATTGAATTTTTTTTTAGTCATTTAGGAATTTAAGTGAAGTTGTCATAAAATAGGAGAATTAGTGTGATCTTTATTTTACATTTTTTTTTCAAACTAAAGAAAGCATTTTAAACAATTTGACAAGATTTTTCAATGAGAAGCTGATACAGTATATAGTATCAAATTCATCGTTCGTATATTCAGGACTACATGTTCATAAAGGTCTCTTTTTTGACAGCCCAAAATTAAGAGAATATGACATACTTCTGAATGCAGTATCAGTGAAAGTGTTAAGCTTCTCCCTTTAAGATGACTAATAGGACCAAGCAATGCTTCCAATTAAACTCGGTGGTACAGGTATCCGTGCAAGGCAACACAGATAACCTTGCCTGTATTCCAATCCTTGACCAGTGCTGCTAGTGAATTAGTGAGAGCCTACCAGAACTCATCGACTTGAGAATGGTCCAGGACGGACCGAAACATCGTTGTCCCTTCAACTTCTAGTGTGTGGTCTGGTCAACCTACCAGAACTCTTAAGAAACTTCATTGGGATTCATAATCCCAAATTCACTGAAGGAGCCAGTCAGCGTGATATTCTTTCAAGTTCTTTACCATAACCAACTTCTCCAAATGACTGCAAGCAGACCCACTGGGACAGCCCCAGAGTGCTGTATGCAGTATATAGAGAAAAATAAAGTTTGCTTCCTTGCTGTGCAAACTTCCCCCTCATGCCGTTGTGTCCCCTTTTAATTGTCCCTAAAATTTCCTTGGGTACCTGTCTGGACCATCAGGCCTTAACCACCTAAAGTGCAGTCATCATCATATATTGATTCATAGGTAATGCGGTTATCAAATGTTGATTTAAACTATTATTTATTTGGTTTTACATGACTGATGCTAATATGAATATAATAGTCTTATAGGAATGTATTGGAATTTGCCTTGACACATGAAAAAATCTGGCTATTGTTTCATGATTGCTTACTATGCAAATGCAGTTGTCATCATAAATGTTACTATTCCAGTGCAGTGATTGTCATGGTATAAAATTTCATTAGAATTACTATACATGATATGTATATGGTAGGCATCCTACAGTCTCGGGAGACTATGGAGTTGCGCTTGGGTTGTTGAGGCTGGAGTGTCCTTTCCAGGAAACAAAGCCTGGGTAGGTCAATATGGAGGAAAAGCTGTTACCCATGCAGCAGGTCCCCCCCTCTCCTTGATGCTGAAATTGTCCAATGTAAAGGCAAACACTAATATGCTTGGTTCCAGCGCCATCACAGGAGCTGCCAGAACGAGGTTGAAGTCTAGTCAACCTTGGTGAAAGAAATGTATACTGATACATGTGATTTTCATAACTATAATTCACTGTGTCGGGGACAGGAAGCCAGAGTGTATTCATACACGTTAGGTTTTTATCGAGGTCCCCTCCCAGCCCAGGG